CCTAAAAATTAGATGACGTGATTACATATTTTTTACGTTACTAGTGGCAGAAATTTTCCATGGACCATATATATAGGGGTTGGTTACTTAATACTCCTCCGGTCCTAATTATAAGACCCAATTGACTTATTTGAGGAGATTAAGGAAGTAAGTTAAGTTGGTTATTTATAATAAATAAGTGTTGTCATTCCTAAAATATCCTTGCTAATTAAGTATATTGGCTAAAACTATCATTATTAGAAGGATTATCTTGGAAAAAAATGCATAAATATAAGAGACAAAATGGATTGGGTCTTATAATTAGGACCAAATAAAAAGTCAAATTGGATCTTATAATAAGGATCGGAGGAGTACTTGGTTTCCTCCTTTTGGCATTTTTCTTTACAATTAGGAAGCCTCCAAAAACAAGTGGCGGGAAGCATCTAATCTAACTAACGGTTGTAATGGATAAATATTTAATTAAAAAAATTAATACCTAAAAAAGTTAGGAAAAATTGTAATAAAAAACCTTAGAATTGTAAAAACGCAAACAGGGACTATTGACAGCTTCACTTTGAGTTTTGACAATATCTGTGTTTTTATAATTTCAAGGTCTTTTTTTACCATTTTTCCAAAAAATTAGGTCATATTAAATTAAAATACTTTTTAATTTGTCATGAGCTAATAAGGACAAAGATTATTACCTTAAATTATAAGATGCGTTTCCTTAAAAAAATTATAACAAATTTCTTAATCCCAACGACCACATCACTTTCATTCACATATCACTCATTTGGTTACGAGTGTCGGCTGTCCTTGAGTGTCGGTGCTGACTTTAAATTTAATTTAAAAGAAATAAAATTATAAATATGATGAAAATATTATTTTTTATAGAAATTATTTTATGTTCGCTGATAAATTGTTCACACTGTTGATAAAAAGTTAATAATTAAATGAATGACGTGTTTAATAAGTCCACATGTCAAATTTGTCCTCTTGTTTTTTTTGTTCTTCATATGGTGAAATTATTTTCTTATAAAAGTTATGTACTCTAATTTTAGAATACGGTTGCCTATTAAAAAAAGACAGAATACGGTTGCATTAGACCTTGATTTTAAATCCACGCCAAAAAAATTTCAATTTAAAAAAATAATTTTTAAGATATGAATGGCATAAAAAAAAAGTCGTCCAATTCGTTAGAGTTAGTTCCATAAAAAAAATTTCAATGATTTAAAAACTTTATTAGTAGATAATTTGTAAATACATGTATGTTAACTAATACAAATACATTAATAAAATGGTATTCTTTAAAAAGTAGGGAAAATTCCAGAAAAGGTCCTTCGAATATAGGAAATTCCAAATTGAGTTATGGAATTTCAAAAATGACAGAAAGGGTCAGTGACCCAATGTGTCATTTGGTAAATCAAGAGGAATTGACAACTTTGCCCTTATTTGTATTTATTCACTACAATGATTTAAGTAATCACTATAAGGGTTTAGGCATTACCTAGATTCATGCAACGAATAACTACTCACTTTTTCATATTCAGATGTCTTGTTATTAACTACAACTAATTTTGTAATCACTAGAACAGTGTAAGCATTAACTAGATTTGTGTAGAGAATAACTACTCACTTTTTCATAGTCAGGTACCTTATTATTAACTACAACTAATCTTGTAATCACTAGAACAGTGTAAGCATTAACTAGATTTGTGTAGAGAATAACTACTCACTTTTTCATAGTCAGGTACCTTATTATTAACTACAACTAATCTTGTAATCACTAGAACAGTGTAAGTGTTAACTAGATTTGTGTAGAGAATAACTACTCACTTTTACTTAGTCAGGGGCAAAATTGTCAATTTGTTTTAATTTCACAAATGACAGATTGGGTCACTGACCCTTTCTGTCATTTTCGAAATTCTAGGACCCAATCTGGGATTTCATATATTCTAAGGACCTTTTTTGGAATTTTCCCTAAAAAGTAATTGATGATTCTCAACCCAAAAAATAAACAAACAGTGTTGAAAGAATATCGAAATCTGTATAAATAATTTTTTTAAAAAAAACATTGTCTTAAAAATCACAGTGGAATTAAATAGTTGGGCCCATTGTACAGACCCCATAAAATTCAGTGGGCCATACTGGATAAAATACAGTGTTAAATAAGCTATGATTTTAATAATGAGAAATCAGTCCCTTCCTTATACGCATTTGAGTATTTTCTAATTCTGTAAAAAAAAAATTTTGTCCATATGTATACATCTTTATAAAAATAAAGAGGAAGGTCAAATAAAGTCATTTCATAATTTATTTACTAAAAAAAGTAATATCTTAATTATTAAATTCCCCACGAAAGGCCATTTCTTAATCGTTAATGCAAGAAAGAATAATGAGCCCAAGATGCTTCAAAGAAACTTCTCTTCTCAGTTCTCACTGCTCTTGAGGAACAAAACACTTTAATAAACTAACCCGATATGTATTAGACCTTATGGTCAATACACTTTTAATATTCTGTCACACATGATTATTAATCGGAAAAATCCCATTAAAGTCTCACAATAATGATTGAATCCCAAAGGAGTCCTAATGAAATTTGAGAGCACTCTCTACGCCATCAAGGTTGGTCTTTGTATAAAAACTAATTATGTTAACAAAATAAAATTAAAAAATTTCATTATGAGAAAAAAGTGCATAGGTATCAATTGAAAAAAAAAAAAACTATAAGTACCCCAAGAGTGATTTTTCTTATTGTATTTTCCCGACTCTTATTCTCTGTTGTGATGCTGTTGAAACAGCAACACTTGGACTATCCTGTTGTTTCTTTTTAATTTTTAATAGCTAATTACTCTTGAAAAAGACTCACTAAGAAAATTATTCATTTCGTAGTATAATGCATCTTGTAAAATAGGGGAAAAAGTCAAAATTAAATAAAAACTTTCTGAAAAATGATACTACCTCCAATCCTAATTATAAGACCTCGTTTACCGTCTGTAAGTAAGGTCTTATAATTAGGATTGAAAATAGTGTATAAAAGTACTGATGGTCCAGATTTGCTGCTTTTAGAGCACAGAGGATCCACATCCAATTTTTTTTCCCTCATAAACCACTTTTTTTTTATCGTTTTTATTGTATAAGAATTTTGAAAATGAAAACAAATGAGCATATGTCCAAAAAGATCAGCAGCTTATGAAAAAAATAATGAGACGTTACTAAGAATCCACCAAATGCTTCAAAGGGAGGAAAAGCTTAGCCAGCCCCTACATAAACAAACCAAGACCAATTTCGTCATAACAATGGCTAATTACTTTATGCTTTTAATAAATTGGGATTTTAAAGTAAGACGTTTGGTTACTTTTACACCATTTTAACCATCTACCTGATTTCCACTCCTCTAATTCACATAAGTAATTTTTTTTCAATGTTATTTAGTTCTAAAATAAATCCTATTTGATAATATTTAGAGTATTGAATATTCTGTCCGTGTTTTGTCCTTTTCTGCATCTAAAATTTTAAGTAATTGATTAATTATGATTCACGTATTTTAAATTTTTGGATAAGGGTATATTTAAAAAGTATTACAAATTTTTATAAATTTAATAATGTTAATTCAATTTATGCGCGGTTTTTAAGGAGCAAGAGAAAGAGATCTCAGAGTGAAAAGAATCAAATGGGAAAAAAAAAAATCAAAACGTTATTTCACTGAATTTGAAAAATCCTAATTAAAAAAGGACGTGACAAAGAGAGAGAGGGGGGGAAAAGCAAAATTAGAAGGTAAGATCCGTGAGGAGCGAGGAAAAGTACCGTTAGTGTCGGCCATAGAGAGGAGCCATTACAGGAAATAAAGGCCTTTGCTTTTGTGCTGTGACTCACACGCCATTCATTAACCCATGCACCAATGCCTCTTGTGAACCCAACTCCCATTCCCAAAAGGCCAAATTCACAATCACACCTTCCTATGTTTTGTGTGGCCCCACATAATTATAGGCACTGGTTTAGGTACCCCATCTACCATTGTTGTCATTAACATCACCAGCATTTTTCACCCTGCAAATGTTCTTGTGGCCTGCTAAGTGCTAACCTAAAAGCTCCCAGTAAACTAAGTAAAGCGGGAGGGGGGGAAAAACAATTTTCTTAGCTCTTGTCCCAAACTCCACCATCTCTCCCCTTGGAGTCCTCACATGGAAATGTTTCATTACCTGAAACCCATGAAAATTTCAACAAGAACAAAAGTCCTTTTTTTTTTTTTTCCCTGTTTTGGTTTTTCGGAGCATTACAGTGAATGACAAAGGGACAATGGGATCCACCACGTGACCACAGGAGCCTACCTGTGGCTGTGCTGGATTTATATTATTAATTTCCATCATATAAATATATAGTGTATATATATTCATGCAAGTGCTTGCAGGCAAAGTAGCTGTCCCTGGGACCCACCTCCAGCAGCATATTATTATGCAGTATGATGCATCCTCCAACTTTACTCCTACCATAATCAATCCACAACTCACTCGCATGCCTTTCTTTTTCCCCTTTTTTCCTTTCCTTTCCCACCTTCCACTATATCCAGCCTTGTTTTCTTATCCTTCCTTCAAAAAATTCAACTTCCCATACTTCACCCAACAACCGATGACTTGAGTGGTAAAGGGTTATAGTTCGTACCCCACAAGGCACAAGTGCGCAAGTTCAAATCTTGCAGCAATTAAAAAAAATAAAATAAAAAAACTCCCATACTCCTTTCACAAAAAACCCGAAGTCCAGAACCACCTGATGCTGATAAAGTTAAGAGGGGGGACCCATTGTCTGTGGGTTATAAACTTGTCGGTACACCTAGCTACATTGGCTATATTGTCCAACCAAATTACATTTTCTATATTAATACATTCAAAAATAATGACAAAAAAGTCATGTAAGATCAAAGGCCTCTCTGATAAGAAAAGCAGGGTAGTCAGTAATAGAATACAAAGCTCTCATATTTGTGTGACTAAATTGAAAAAAAAAAAGAACTTGAATGAGTGAAATTGAAATGAAATCATTCTTTACAATACTGAAGAGATACAAAAGGACTTGCTAGTGTCCAAGTGGTAATCACGCCATTTTTGGAGGATCAATATCTAGTTTTTGTCCAGCCAAAAACGGGTAAACAAGTGGAGAGCAAGATGAGAATATGAAGTAAAGTAGGAAACCACGGGGAAAAAAAAAAAAATCTAGCCTCTTCATTTCATTTACAAATACAGTTTGGTGTCTCTGCAGGCATGGGATCAAGAACTGCAAATTGACTATCTAATTTGGAACTGATTCTTCTCTGCCCAAATCAACCAAAAATACAGGAGTGTGTACAAAAGAATTTCAAACATTCAAAAAGAAAAATAGCATCCCTGTGGAGATGGACTTGCATCATCAACGCTAATGCTAAGAAAACTTAAACATACCACGAGACTCGTCTATGGATTGATGTTGCACTCTCTCAAGTACAAGTGATCGTAGTTAACATACTTCGACCAGTAACTTCTGTACTTAGGAATGCTTATCTCCAGCCATGGTTTCATGTTCCCGTTGTAGTGTATAACAGCCGCCCTCTCAATCTCTCGTTGGTTGACACTGGGGTTGTAGCCAAGACCCAACACATGCCAGCCTCTGTTCAGTGGAAAAGTGCGCTTCCAGAATGTTATGAGACCAGGTGGAAGTGTTCCTAACTTCCACAGTTGTCTGCCATGATTCTGAATGACAGTTAAATTTGACAGGAAAAATCAGTAGATATTCGACTTTAAAAATTAACAAGACAACAAGTCAGGAACATTCTCATGGTGCAATATTGGATGGACACATATTAGAGTTCATCCTTATAATAAGCACTATAAAGGGCATACAATTGTACTTCACAGATTAGGCTCACCCCCTGTAACATGACATTAAATTGAAGAGATAAAACACAATAATCCACTACGTACAAAAAAGACTTGTTATTACTCTTATTATATGACTGGCATGTCGCCTGAGAAGATTCAAATTCATACTTTTAAACCAACCCTCGGGGAGTGGAGAACATTAATGCGTCCATGAGCGTAAAGCTGGCCTCAATCTTAAAAGCTAAGGGTAATGCATGTGCTGTGAGCTCATTCACATTAAAAGGGTGTATTACTACCATGACGATATTTACAGAATTACAGTTAGAATTGTTTTTTTTTCCCCCAATAACAATATGAGACATTAGATTTACGTCACTGTTGTAAAGGTTTTGAGGTGCCAATTTTCGTGTGACTATCAGTCATACCAGGAATACTTTCAGACAAGTAAAATACTGCACGTACCAGCTTCTGCCAGTTGTGGTACACCTCTGTGATGTTTTGTCTCTTCCATTCAGCTAAATCAAAAACGTTCATACCATATGCCCATCCACAAGCACGCGGATCAAAATTCTTTGCAATAAGAGGATTAGAGAAATTGAGGTAACGATCAAAGCGATGGAAACTTTCTCCACAGGTTTCTACAGCACCATTTACATTGCCCTTCAAATCAATTGACCAAAGACCACTTAGATCCTTCTGCACAACTATATCATCATCCAAGAACAAAACTTTGTTGAGCTTTGGAAAGATCTCAGGCAGGTAGAACCGGAGGTGGTTCAAGATAGATAAATACTTAGGGTTTCGAAACTTGAGGTTTGAATCAGAAGTGTCCCGATGAGCCCTAAAGTAATAATCTATCATAGATCGAGATCCCAGCTGCCTAAGAACAGGACTGTAACTTGCATTCAACCATGTAAATTCTTCAATGTTTTGAACTTGAATAGTTGCCCTGCCTGGTGGATTTGCCAAAAACCACATCCTCATTGCCGCATAATTGAGCCTATCAGTGACAATGTGGATGACATGCTTTGATGGGTGCTGCAAAAACAATTCAATAAAAATTATTACAATCCGATCAGAAATAGGGGTGGCAATATTTGAACTTCTTTCATTTCTCTGCAAAATTGAGCCACATTGAAAAAGGAGACAGCTGTCTAAATACATTTACATCCTTGTGCAGAAATAACACGTTTTCTTTTGATTTTCACAATTGCTTGGCGACCAAGACGACATAAAGGAACTTCTTTATAGCAGAAATGAATACCTTAGCATTGGAAACAGTTGAATTCACAACAACAGCTGTTGCCAAAATATTATCAGAGAATATTGCGTAGTGGAATAGTTCAGGGTCTTCTAACTTCTCTTGATTTGGAAACTCTTGCTCAGAAGAATTCAATGAATAATACTCAGTTGTAAGGCGCAGTGGAAGACAATGAAGACCTTTAGGCAGTGTTTTTGCTGTCAATTGTGTTAAGAACAACGTCTGTTTCTTGTGCGCACGAAGCTGCTCCTCTGTTGAATGAATCATAGCACGAAGTTTCTTCACAACAGCAGCACAATCATCTTGAATTTGGCTTCCTTTCATCAAGGACTGCTCCATTGCCTTCATTCTCTCATTTGCACTACATTAATATAACAAATACAAATTAACAACTAATGAAATGTAGCTCAATGAAAACTGAGCTATTTATGATGTATGTATCACGGAGCTGCAGAAAAGCCTTGAAAGATGAAACCACAAGCTGAAAAATTTATAAAACAGGGCATCATATTGAGAGGCATAGCAGCATTCATAATGGATTGCTTACTTCTTGGGCAAGTCAGAATCTTTGCTTGCATCCCCTAGTGTTCGTGAGACTTCCTTAACCCGCAAACGAAGCTCCCGAGTAAGGTGGGGATTGTTTTTTACTGCAGGAAGGGAAAGATAAACCTTTGCCCTCACAAGCTGGTCTTTTAGTTGCCGTACCCGGGCATCTGATGGTATTTTGTCATTTGGCTTATTGGTTTCAGATGATCTATGCATTCTATTGGTTACTTCGCCAGAAGTTCCAGCTGTTTGTTCCTCTTGGCTGGTAACCTGAAGGAAGATGCACCAAATGAAGTAAGAAAATCTCGTTCCGCATTGAAGTTAATTTTCCTTCACTTAATTAAAGTAATTTCTCAGAAAGGCTGCATAATGAAGTCCTGAGTGTAGATAAGCAACACATCAACAATATATATTAGCAAGTTATTTTGTTGTTTCCTGGCTATACCGGTAGGGGAGCAGGCAAGAAGATGAGTGATGTTATTTCTTACGATAATGGGCACGTGATGCAGGAGAAACCAAATAACATGCTCAACAACAAAACTTGGCCAAAAGATCATCAACTTTAATACAATGAACCAAATTTCCAATTGCCAACTAAAAACGAGTTATACCAGAGCTTCCAATGCAGCAGGTCAGACCTTATGATCCTAACGTGACTAATTCAAGATGCAGAACTAACAAAGTAAACTAGACATTGAATATTATATATGAAAGATGATAGATATTACACCCGTAAAAATAAATTTTATTAATGTTTAAACATGACCAGAAGCCTTGAAAATGTGTCTTGTCGAGAAGATACAGATTAATATTCCGTAAACATATGGCCGCAGCGTATGATAAAAACCAAACAAAATACTGAAAAAACAAAAAGAAAATATAGGATCACTTGCTATGTTTTGAGATGCATTGATGTCATCGCCCTCTAATGCAGCTTCGCCATTTACCTTTTCACCATTTGCATCAGCTTTAGTTTCTTGAGTGATTCCATCTGTCACCTTTCTTATGAGGTTCTCCGTTTTACCTTGCTCATCCTCATTTGTAGTTGACAATACCCTGGCAGATACATGTTCTCTTGATTCAGCCAATTGCAAATCTAGGTCAAAGAGACAGTTGGATCAGAATACAAATAAATATATAAAAACTAGAAATAGAAATAAACAAGAAACGAAAAATAATCTTCATGAGCAAAAGAGAAATCCCAAACAAAATACCTTGAGGTGTCTTGGTGTCGGTTGAACGTTCAGTATACACAACCCCAATCGGTTCTTTAAGAACCGTTGAAGTTTCCTGTTTGCGAAATGAGAAATGTCAGCAAAAATTTCAGCAACTCCAAGGGGAAAAATTCTTTCAATGGAAAAAATTGAATCTTCACCTGGGGTAGCAGATTCAAATGGCCAGAGTCTCCAGCACTGTGAGCCTGGCAAAAAAATAAATAAATAAATTTCAGAAATTCAAACATCTCTTCACTGAAACACAGTTGAATTCTCTCAAAGATATCACTTACAAAAGCAGCAACTTCATCAATAAACTCTTGCTTGGCTGCGCATAGCATTAAAAAGAAACACAGAAACCAAGAATCAGCGAAATGCAAGGGTCTAGGAAGTTCAGGATGGGCAGTGAAACACAAGAGATCTAAGATAAACTCACCAGAAGGTGACTTGAAGTTACCAAGACGATCAGTGTAGAGAACAAGCGGAGCAACAACAGTTATACAAAGCAGCACCAGCACAACGTTTCTCACAGCCACCATTTCTACTCAAACCCCAAAATCACAACCTTCAAACACCCACAAAATTGTTGTCGGCAAGAAGGCAAAGCTAGAAACACAGAAAGAGCAGAGATGCCTCCGCTGCTATCGCTTTCTCGACAAAAAGCAACGCGTCCCTTTAGCGCCCGCACAGATTCTGTCTTGAGAGGCCACTGATGCCAACAAAAATCCAACCCAAGAAACAAAAAACCTTTCAGGATGAGAAAAGAAACCCACTTTTATATATGCAAATGATAGAAATCTCAGGGGGCAGGGGAAGAATTCGAAGCAGGAAATTCAACAAAAAGCAACGAATCTATGGCGCATACACTGATTCGTGAGAATGGAAAGAAAAACGCATTTCCCCCCCGATCTGAAACAGAGAAGGATGCGTTATGTCTGATAAATGTGCTCTGTAACCCCAAAACACAGGACCCGTTTCTTTATGGATTGTATCGTACCCTTTTCTGTAAAATGCACGACCAGAAAAAGAAGAGAAGAAGAATGGCTTTGCGGGTAAAAGAAGAAAACGAAGAATAAACCAAAAAGAAGAAGGGTTTGTGGCGTGTATAGAGAGAGAGAGGGCCTGGAAGGAAGATAGAAGCCAGGAGAGGAGAGATGCCAAAATGCCAAACAGCGAAAAGGAGATATGAGCCCAGACGAGACGGGATGATACTAATTTTTGTTGGGGTCTGTGTCAGTATATCAAGATCATTTAACGAAAGGGAAAGAGAGAAGAATTAAGAGAAAAGAGAAGAACAAATTAAAAAAACCAGAGAAAATCATAAAACGGAAAGTTTACAATGAAAACATGCTGTTTAAGAATTAATTAAATTGCAGAACAACCCAGAAAAGAAAGAGGAAAAAAGAATGTGATCAAATTAAATAGCTGAAATTAGGCGCACGCGGCTGAAGAAACGCGTGCAGGCCACGTGAGAGACGTTAAAGTTTTACAGTTGGCTTGGCTGGCTATTCAGTGTACAGAGGGACCTGCCAGTTAAAGTCAATAACTAAAACACGCATGATTCGCGGCTTTGGTTAATAAAGCCCTTTTTGTTGTTGTTAATTATAGTTTTAAGGGATCAGATTTGGATTTTTTCCCCCTTGGCCAGGATTTGGATGAATCTCTTTATAATTAGCCCAAAAAATTTCAGTTTTTATTTATGATTTTTTCTTATGGGGTAAAAAAATTCTACTAAAATTGAAAAATTAAAATAATATATATCTCCTTTATATTAGAATTATTTAAATTTGAATTTCCATTTACACCTCACAGACAACCTTTATTGTCTAAACAAGGCAAGGCTTAGGTGGTCAAAATTATGATTATGATTTTTTCATAATACCTAGTTGGTATAAATGTAGCCTTGTGTTAGTTGTGCCAAATAAATTTAAATTATATTTTTATCATTATATTAAAAAAACATATTGATATAATTAGACGGATAGCTGTATTGAGGTTGAAGTTAAGAAACCCCAACATTTTTAATGCCACGACAACTAACACCATGGCTTTATTTATAGTTCTTAATTATTACCCCTCCGTTTCTTATTATAAGAGACAAATAACCGAATTACATTGATTAAAAAAGCAGTTAAAATTAGTTAAGAACAATCAATGTGTAAAAAATATAATTTTTTTTCCAAAAATGCCCTCATTGATAAGGAGAGAGGGCATGAGAGAGAACAATTAAATTATTAATAGAAAGAGAAGTAGGAGGGAGAGAGAGTGTGAATTGGAGACAATAAATATGGGTAAAATAGAAAATCAACACAAAAAAGTAGAGACAACTTTTAAGTGTCTTTTATATATAGAAACATGCCATAAGCATCAAATGTCTCTTATAATAAGGAACGGAGGGAGTAGTATTATTATTATTTAAAAAATTCAGTTACACTCACACCATCCATATTAAATGAAAACGAGTCAACCCAATTCATCTTTCAATAACTATTGATTTTATTAATTAATAATTATAAATAGATCAATTAAATTTCTGGGGTTAGAAAGAGGGGGGTGCCGTGATGAGGGTAGTTCATTAATCAATCATTTTTTTTTAAAAACGAAGGAATAATTTGATTGAAAATGAAGAATTAATAACTGGGGTTCAAGTAAAAAAATAAAATAAAATAAAAGCCATGCAAAGCGGAGAGGATTAAAGAAAGAAAGAAAATTTAAAAAAAAAAAGAGTAAATGATGGAATGGCTTTGGTGGTACATTGATTGATATGAATGTGAGGAAGTGCTTGGAAGGCCACAAATAATAATAACATCGCAATTTGCTGTGCATATCCACATTTGATAACTGTCGGCGCTATCAACGCGGCAACTACGCGCCACTGCTTCCTCAGCCATTTGTTCCCCTTTAATATTATATATGAAAATTTTGAAGAAAAATCTTGGAAAAATTTCAAGAAAATAATTATTAAATTTTAAAATTCAAAATCAGTAATTATTACAAAAATATATTGTCATTTACTTTTCAAGTGTACTTATTTTCTTTACTAATATTGTAATCAATACTGATTTAAAATTTTAAAATTTCTTATAAATTATTCTTTACGGGGTATGCTGGAGTAAGATTCCCTCTTAAAAGTTCAAAAATTCAATAAAAACTCAACTCTGACATGTTCGTAAGAATTTCTTAAATTTATAAACCACAGTTACAAGACTCCGCATTGTGGGACAAACTATTAAATATCTCTACTGGACCTATATTTCTTTTAGTATGTGAATATTGTGGTATGCTCAAAATTTGTTTTTAACAAGTTCAAAAATTTTCTCATTCACCTAAAAGGTTTCTTTTTAATGAGATTAAAATTATATATATTTGTAAAATTGGAAAAATCAGTTTTATTTTTGCAAAAAAATTATTGATAAACACAAGTATCTTCTTATTGAAAATAGAAACAATTCTATTTGAAGCACTGTCAGGTACTAAATATAGACACTTTTTTCAGTAAGAATTCAAATATTAATTTATCATATTATAGGAGATTAGCTCTTTCCGTTAGATAAAAAAACAAATTGCGAAAGTAAGAGAATCTTGTTAGAAGATCTTTTTTATAGCCTTTTTGGTATAAAGAATATAATGGGTATTTGGAAAACCTTGGAAACACTTTTTTAAAATATTTTTTTGTAAATCAAAACAAATTCCTCCATATATTTATTTCATATATCGTAAAAATATTTTTAAAATTATAATTTTGTTTTTATCCAAACACTCCCATAATGTACTGGGCTAATTGTTTTGTGAATATAGTTGTCATTTCTAAAAAGAGGGAAAAAAAAAAAAAACACGCCCACATGTGCAGTGTCGTGCTCCAAACGGGTCATATTGTATTTTCAGTTAAGCTTGGTGCTTTGTCTAATTTAGAATCAGATCAATTTTTTTACTTTAAGCTCAATGCCCAATTTGATAAATATCCTCGGATCAAGACAAATCTTGCTAATTTAATTATGATGGTTAATTCTCCCGTAAAAGCGTGTTTAATTGTTTTTATTCATCGAATATGGAAAAGATGGACTATTAATACTTGTCTCTTAAGCAAATCAATGAATATACTCCAGCTCTTCTTCCTTTGTTTATTGATCAAACAAATAAATATTCACCTCACATTTAATAATTTCTATCTCTATAATTATAGCTTAATCATTATTATTAAAATCGTTCATTTGACAAAGAGAAAATCATGCATTCACCTTTTATTAATAAACAAATGCACATAATAAAAACACTTTTATTTTCGCCCAAAAAATGGGACATTTTCATTGGATGATGAAAAGGAATGGATATAATTAATTGAAAAGCAACCATTCAAAAATTCTTGTAAATAATTTAAGTGGCAAATGTGAATTGGGAACACAGGATTAAAAATCAATCTTCTTAATTAATGTAGTAATAATAATAATAATAATAAAGTTTGGTATTTTGTCACTTTAGTCTTAATTTGGAAATGAACGGAGCTTTGTTGTATATTCCTAACCATCTTTAACAAAATGGGTTTGGTGACTGAGTTCTAAGTCCTCTCAGTGGAATCGGTTCAGAAAACAATCTTCTTATAAATTAATTTACTGTTCTAAACTTTAAAAGAGACAAAGGATTAGAAGAAAAGGGGTAAAGACGTAATTTTATTTTTGATCTTATTTCTTATATATTTTCTGGGTCCAATTTTACTCTTGAACTTATAAGATAATTGCACTAAAAAAGATCATGAATAAAATTCATCATTACGCTTCAAAGTAAGACAAACATCTCAAACACTCTTATTTTCGTTTTTTAGAGACTACAAGTCAATAAGTCAATGTATTTTAGGCTTGATTTTTATATAAATTATATCAATTAATTTTGTCTAAATCAATTTATATGAATAATGAAAACCAAATACATAACTCCACTGATAAGTGATCAGAGGTTGTATTAAGTTAATCAATACCGTGTTTAGAACTACATAAAAAATAAAACCAAAAAAAAACTCGTTGAAAAAATTCTGCCGCTGTTATAGGTCAACCTGATTTGACTCAGATTAATCAAATAGCAATGTGTCTTCTAAATAGAGGTAATTTAATATAAAATTTAAACAATTTCAGACATCAACTTAAAAATAACGATACTTTTTCATGAAGATAGATAAAAAAAAAAATTATAACGTAAATTATCAAAACCAAATTTAAATAGTTGAGAAAAGAGGAAGTAATCATGATACTACTTGCTTTTATCATGAGCATATTATTTATACTATTTCCGATTCTAATTATAAGATTTTATTTTAATTTATAAATAAGGTCTTATAATTAGGATAAGAGTTGGCATAATATTTACGTCTAAGAAATGAATTACTAATTGGTGATTTAAATTTTATATCTTATGGTGATATTAACATACCGTTAAAAGTGAGATTAAGATCTAAAAATTTATCTTTACTTTTTTTTTATTTGTTTACCTTTACCTTTTGAATGTTACGGATGTTCTATATTTCAATTTAAGAATGGAAAATCAGAACCAACTTTGAAAGCATCGCCATATATAAAATTTAGGGTTCCAATCAGTTACCATATTTTTATTTATTCAATATAACTTTATTTTACCTCATTCCTCGTCCTCCTTGATGAGGCAACAGCCAGAATTAACTTTTCTTCCAGTTTCTTCTATTTCGATTTACATGAAAAATCATTTTAAAAAAATTTATATTATAAATTATAATACTAGCCATCTTTTTGCCTTTTGAGCCACTTCTACGAAGATGTTTGCCAGGAAAATTCCAAAATTCATTTACAAAAAAAATTACAAGCATATGTCATGGTCACATCACCAGAGCAAATTTAGCGGGAAAAAAAAAATATTGTTCCGGTTCTAAATATAAAATCTATTTTATAGTGTAAATTTATATTATAAAGTGGGTCTTATATTTAGGATTGGAAAAATAATACTATATCATCAAGTAACATGGTAAACTACCTTTTGAAACGTATTAAAAATTTAAATAAAATAAAAGCTACGTAAAGCTCCACACATACACGGATGAATATTACAAAAATTTAAAATTGTGATATTTGTACCTCAATATCTTAAAAAAAAAAAAAATTATGTGTCTGAATAGTTTTCTTGTACGAAACAATAAAAAACCACGGTTGAATACTTGTAATACAAGATTTAGGGACCATTTGCAGTTAAATAAACCAATAAACA